AGTGGCCTTGAGTGCCAAAATTTCAAAACTTTGCAACCCTCCACCAACAAATGGTGGTGTCTCAATATGAGTGAAACATTTTATATTACAAAGAGTATGCTTTTCTCTCTTGAAAACTTTAAAAAAGTATAAATGGTTTGAAAGACAACAGAAAATTTTAAAAAAGAATACATATGAGGAAAGTACAACAAAATACAAGAGATAAAGAAAACCTAAAAGAAAAATATCTTAATAACCATATCAATTTTTATAGGAATAAGAAAATACAGGAATAAGAAAATGAAGAATTTGTTAAGCTATGCAAAGGATATTCTGTTAATCAATCAAGAAATTAATAAATTTACATCCTAATTCAGAAGTACCGGTATATCTGTAAAAGAAGAAGGTATAGTTTGGGCTCTATTGCGCCCTTGAATTTTAATGGTTTCAAAATGTATTGAAAAGCAGCTCTGTTATAAGTCTTACTACGAAGAAATCAACGGAATATGAACGTGCATAAATACACACCTTTTTGAACTGAAATCATTTTTGTAAAACTACTATATTATCACATGACTTAAATATTAAATGAAAAAACAATGTATACGCCGCTCTGAATGAAATTTGGTTTGGTCACGGTATTTGACAGTCACGTGATAAATGTATGTAATGTGTACTGTATGATAAATGTATGTATTGTGTACTGTATGATAAATGTATGTAATGTGTACTGTATGTAGCACAGGTGCTTGACGTTTTAAACCTTTCTTTTCGTAAATAAAAAATCCCCCATACTATAATAATAACAAGGTTCCTCACGGTCGCCATCTTGAATTTTTCAGTTCATATACTTCGCCTCGATTTTTAGTCTACAATGTGTTTAAAATTAACGGATACAACCGTTTCCCCTTACTTTAACTATGCCTCCACTATTGGGCAAATCAACTCAAATCACATTAAATCCTCTCTAATTCTTAAAATGTCGCCTCAAACTCAGTCTACTGCTACCGATAAGAGAAAAACGATTTGTATGTTCTAACTGCATGGAATTTCAATGATCCAGAAAGGACGAGTTTTAATTTCTTACATAATTTTCATATTTTAGAAAAAGTACAGGGCCAGATTTGTATTGAAACCGTATCTTGTTCTTTGGAAAAGTGGTCCTATGTTAAGTCTGTCCGAAGCTTTAAAATGCATTCAAAACTTCTCATTGCATTTCTGCTTTATTTTGATCTTTAGTTGTACAGAATGTGAATAAATTCTTCCAATCTGAGTAGAGGCATATTATCAGCCATTTTATTATTTATTGTGATGTTTTATGACTTGATTGATCAAGTGACGGACACGGACCTGCATCTTTATTTTGAATGTTGCACAAAATCACTTCAGACAAGTGATTGAATCAATTATACATGTAGTGCTTGGGAAAAGCCTAAGTATTATTGTATAAGCATATTTCACAAAAGCTTCAATCACCCACGAATTCGAGGATATTTTTCATTGCATCACAATTTATACCAAAAAAGGCCGTTGAAACTTACCATCCAAATCATATTCCGATTAAAGATCATCTCTTATTTATTAGTCCCCTACCGGTGAAACCGGAGGGGACTGTAGGTTTCCTCTGAGTCTGTCCGTCCGTCTGTCTGTCTGTCCGTCTGTCCGTCCGTCCGTCTGTCTGTCTGTCCCTCTGTCTGTCTGTCAGTCTGTCCCACTTGGTTTTCCGCACTTTTTTCCTAAACGCTTGCAGATATTGAGCTGATTTTTGGTATGTGAGTGTATCTTGATGAGTTACAGATCTAGTTTGCATTTCGTTCCGCTTCATTGATTTTTGACGGAATTACGGCCTTTTCAATTTTTAGGGGTTTTCCGCAATTTTCTTCTAAACGCTTGTAGATATTGAGCTGATTTTTGGTATGTGGCTTTACCTTGATTATTTATAGATCAAGTTTGCATTTCGTCCCACTTCATTAATTTTTGACGGAATTATGGCATTTTCAATTCTTAACGGGGACCAGATTACACTTGCCGGTAGGGGACTTGTATTGCTAATGCAATACTCTCAGAATGCTTGTTTTTTATGTCATCATATCTAGTGTATGCATAGAGAACATTGTTATAATTTACGGTAAATCGTAGCCTTTCAGCGAATTTCAGTCTTTCTTCCTGCTTTCACGATCGGGATAATTACATGTTATTAACGATATCATCGTACATATTTCATACATGTTTACATCACGACTACCATTGCTGTAATTCTTAATCTAACCTTTATATGATTTTCAGTTTGGGTAGCGGTAGCACATTATCATCCAGCATCAGAGAATTTATAAGGAATGTAACTAATAAAAGCATTAGATTAGAAAGTACAATGTATCACACGTCGAAAAAAATCAAGTACAGAATATTGAGCAATTATAATACATGTACATGTATATATGAAAAGGATCAGATTCATCAGTATCATTTTTTCAATACTGATTTTTTTTTCTTTTTGCATGCATAATAAAAAAATATTTAAGGTTTATATCCTCGCTAATACTCGTAAAAATATTGATCACCTATTTTGTTTCCAAAGTTCAAAATTGAATTTGAGCATATACAGCAAAGTGATATTAACTTACTGTGCAAAAATCAATCAAATATTTCCTCACTGAAAAGTAATTACTGATGTACCGTAAACGTAATTTCCACGGGGTTATAATTCCGCGTAATCACAATTTCGGTTTAATCCGAGGGTAAAAATTACGCGGATTTCTTGGATTGTCATATAATGTCTAATAATAAATAGTAAATGTACTTTAAGTACACTGTGACAAAGGATGACTGCACTAAAAGACATGCGAAATTTGCGACAAAATAAACTTTCAAAAGAAGCATATTTCTTTTCATTGCAAGAATGGTCAACATCCAATCTACAACTTTATGTAATTACGTTTTATACACAACATGACAAAAAGGAAAGTTTTACATTTATTTAGATGAACAAAGGCATACATGTATGTAATCAACACTATATACAAAGCAAATTTACAGTAAAATTCAAAAAACAAATATTGTTAAAAAACAAAAGTTACAAAAACTTTGGCATCTTGGGGGCTGCTCTCTCTAATTCAAAATCCATGAAAATAACCCAGGGTGAGCCCAGCAGGTAATCATTGTGTCTTTAAACCTGGGGGAGCCCAGCAGGTTATCATTGTGTCTTAAAACCTTGGGGGAGCCCAGCAGGTTATCATTTGGTATCCCAGAACCTGGGGGAGCCCAGCAGGTTCGTAGTCTAATTACCTTGGGGGGAGCCCAGCTGGCAATCATCGATACCAATCAAATCAAAAATTTTGGGTGTACTCTATCAACCTGGGGGGAGCCCAGATGGTTGATGATAATTTAAGTACCTGGGGAGATTCCGGCAGGATACTAAATGTGAAATTAAAGCCTGGTAAGAATACAGCAGGCATTATGTGTATTGAGTACACAATTTGTAATTTTTAATAATAAAGCTTTAATAAACCTTTACTTTCTTTGAATTTGGGGATTTGAAAAAAATTCCAAATACAAGGGAATTTTTTATGTCTTTTGGGGGCTCTCACTCATTTAAACAAGGTTAAACTCGTTCATGTTGGCCATTAAAATTCCCATGTATTTGGAATTTGGAGTGTAGTTTTCTGTTTCCCTCGTCTCTCGAGGAGTTCCGGATATCACCGGGGTAGCGTCATTTCGTGAAGTGGTAGTTTGGGCTCCCGACTGGCGTAATTGTTCCTCGCTACCAGCAGCCGCTGGTATAGACGTTTGCGATCGAGACATGGTGTTGACTCTTTCCGTCAATGAAATCATGCTGCTTTATAGGTTCTGTACTGTTGATGTAAGGTCCTTAACTACGCCTGGTAGTTCTGTTCTAACGTCTTGGTTGGGTGTAACTGTTTTTTGACGTCTCGATTCCAGCGCTGTTCTTGTCTCTTCATTTGTAGTCACAGTTTGCTTATATAAAGACACTAGTACACTATGTCTGGTATTCTGTGGCTGTTTGATGCCTTTCAGTCTCAGTTCGTCTCTAAGTTTTTTAACAGACCAATTTTCTGGAAGAGAGTCATCGTAGGACTGTCGATTAACACGAGTCCGATTCATGATTGGTAGTTTATCACAGTATAGGAAAAATCACAATAGATCCCGAAATGTCTCAAATATATCCATAAAACCGTTGGTATCACATGACTCGATATTTAGAAAACGAAAGTAGAATGTAACGTTGGAATAAAGGCAAAATAATAACAAACAATTAAGGCACGATGCTGAGTACTTCGATTACAAAAGACAGACTAAGATAGCGTCCCTTTCCGCAATTCTGATTGGTTCAATTAATCACGTGGTTTGGTTAAAAACATCCCAGGCACATGTCTACTGATTACGTAAAAAGTTCAGTAACATAGTTGTTTATAAACAAAAATTACATAAATTTACATTTAATAAAAGTGTGTATTTATGAAGTTCGAATCTGTTTTCAAAGGCAGGGTTCATCACAATTTCTTGAATCTCCGTACGCCCACTTTTTTACTGACTTTATAAATAGTCAGCGCATGTTGTCTTGTTCTACGTTTAACATTCTACTGATGTTCAATCAAGGGCAGGTAAGTGTAAATTCACTATATTTGGAAAGCAGTAAGGACAAAAACATTGAGTCATTTTATTATATCACAGTCTAAAATCATTTTAAAATTTAAATTTGGTTCCAATTTGACAGGATTCTTTCATAAATATACAAAAGTGAAATAAGGTTTATATATAAAAGCAGAAGCAACCGAAAAAGACCCGAAACAGGCGTTAAGTGCAGTCATCCTTTCCACGTAAAATTTTGACTGCGTAATAAAGAGTAAATTAAACCAACCCAGAAAAATGTACGTCTACAGTAGTTAAGTTTACTCTCAAGTAAATAAAGAGGATAGCGTTTTAAGAAATGTGAAAAACTGTCTGATGAAAGTCTCTTTTATTTCAGTCTTCTGCTTCCAACCCACATGTTTATGCTGAAATCCAAAGTGTAAGTTAGGAATCAAACTTTCTTACAGAGGAACTGAAACGAATGCTTTACTATCTATTTAAAATCAAGTTCTAACTCCACATATACAGTGTTGCTATTTTGAGACTCTCTTACCCTCCCCATATTTATCTCAGTTGATTCAATACGCAAAAGCATGCTCTACGTATGAACAATTTCTAAAACGAGGTAAGTTATTGACAAACAGTTGATGAAACAAGAATATCAGCAGTCTCGTTTAAGTCTCGGTCGTAAGTTCTTTGGTCGATACAATGACCTTGTCAGCAAATACAATTTATCATTAAGTAAAATGCTGACTGATGTTTTTCATACATATTGATATACCATTATTCACCCACTGAATTGTCGACGGATTTTTCCGTTATTTCCCGATCATAACAAGGAGCACACGGCGGGTGTAACCGGTCGGCAGGGGATCCTCATTCCTCCGTGGCACCCGATCCCACCTCTGATGTTTTAGAGGTCCGTGTTTGCTCTACTCCAAAATTTGTATTGTTAAATGGACCTTTGAGGTTGAATACTGTTTGTTATCTCCATATATTTTATTATAGATATCATATAATTAATCATTCATTGATGTATTGATATTTTTATATTTAACAAATAAAAAAATACTAGCATGGATTAAATGCATGTTTCATATGCACAGTTCGTTCTCTGCATTGGATTGTTTCTATGTATCAGTCTTAAACGGGCTTGTCTACATGTCGTATATACTTGACATATTATATAGATCACAAATACCACCAAATTAAATAAGCATCGACTGTGCTTCGAAATGAATTTGAATATACAGATGCAAGCAAAGAATACACAATTTGAAATTACCATGGTTTCATTTCTATATTTGAAGCTACTGCAGTGTCTTAAAAAGTCTGCTAAACCTTAGTACTTTCATAATTCTTTATAATGGCTGTAAAAACTCCATTTATACAGACTTTAAGTAAGTAATTGAATTTCCAGCATTAACCTTGTCCGGAATTTATTTTGTACTCATTTATTATCATACAATATCATAATGCTATTTTAATGATGCCAACTCGGTAAGAGTATCTCTTTATTAAGCCTTAATGTATTATATAGAATAAAAAGTGTTGAATTTGATCAACCCATGTATTGTTCATGTATTCGAACTGTATTTATTCACTCCATCGTCTTTGTAGAAACAAGAAGAAATTTATGATGACATCTTAGAGACAAATGTGAGAGTGAGTTATAGTCTTTCAAACGGAAGTAATGACATTTATTCAAAGCATCAATATAGGAATCAAATAAAGAAAATCGGATTAAAATGATTTGCTTTTATAAATTTCAGATCCCAAGTTTGTGCAAATACCCAGTAATGGCAGCTATAGACTTCGGTACAAAATACAGTGGTTATGCATTTGCATTGAATAGGTCAGATACCACAATTCAACTACCAACGTGGTCATCCGGGGACGCGATGACAACTAAAGCACCCACGGCAGTCTTATTTGGACCAGATAAGACCTTCCTCAAGTTTGGATACGATGCCATTGCATACATGCAGGAAAATCCATATGAAGAGGATCTTGGCAAATTTTATTTCTTCCAAGATTTTAAAATGCGTCTGTATGAAACAGAGGTACATGTATGTCCTTGACCTCTCTTACCATTTTCTGATAAGGTGTCGATATCATATTATAATAGCATGAAACAGTTCATCACCAGGAATCATAAAAAAATAAAACCGGCAGTGAAAATAAGTTTTAAAGACCAAGGATGAACCACATTTGCGAAGCGTTCCGATAAATTGATGAAATCTTTCTATATGAAGAATTTTTTGTGAATAATATGAATCTGTTTAAGCCCTGTTAGTTTCTGTTGTTTTTTTTTTGTTTTTTGTTTTTTTTTGTTTGTTTGTTTTTTTTTTTGTTGTTAATCATCTATCATTTGAAATACAATAATAGCGTTCGCTATGCATGTTATTTCAATCTTATTTTCTTTAAGTTGGATTATATTCTTTTTCCAGGATCTGTCACTGGAAACTAAAATTACAGATGTTACGGGTCAGAAAAGTTTGTCAGCAATAGTAGTTTTCTCCAGTGTAATAAAGTTTTTCTCCGATAATCTGATTTCAAATTTTGTCAACCGTTTTGGTGGATCATCTTTTGAGATGAGAGATATATTTTGGGTGATAACTGTACCTGCTATTTGGAGCCTGAAAGCTAAATACTTCATGAGAGAGGCTGCCACAAAAGTATGCACTAAACAATATTTATCCACTTTACCTCTTGTTAAATGAATGTGTACACATTTCGTGAAGCTTTAGAACTACAATTGTTCCATTGGTTTGTATTATTAATGTTTTCAAAAATATGCAATAGGCTGGTATACCCGTCAATCAAATGGCAATAGCTCTAGAACCAGAAGCAGCCAGCGTGCTATGTCGCACAATAGACGTGTATGTGTCATCGAATGATGGAATAGGAGGAGTAACTAAAGCTTTTGAATCAATACCAGATAATTCTACCTATCTGGTCGTAGATATGGGAGGTAAATTAAACATGATTAAACATAGTTTTATCGTTGGATATGTTTGAAAACATTTGATCAAATCTTTTAATGATGATGACAGAAAATGAACATGCATGTTGAACATTTACGTACTGTACACAATGGAAACTCAAATGGATACATAATTGTATTAAATTGATAAATACAAATAAAAGATTTATATTTCATTTTTTAGAATTTACATATATTCGTGTATTACATTATTCGTGTTCTTTAAAACTCTTTGTTGTACATGTAAATTGTAAAAAAATGTTTTTGGTGTAGGTGGTACGGTAGACATAACTCTTCATCAGGTGCTTGAGGGAAAAGGACTTCGTGAACTTCACAAAGCCAGCGGTGGAGACTACGGGGGAAACCAGGTCAATAAAAGATTTCTGAAATTTCTACAAGAATTATTCGGGAACAGTGTTTTAGAAACGATCAAACAAAAATATCCTTCAGACTGGGTTGAAATTCTCACTAATTTTGAAATTAAAAAAAGAGCAACAACCAAATCAGAAGACCAAGAAAAGGTTGTTATGAGAATTCCTGTTTCATTTGTGGAAGAGTACAAGACATTGATAAAACATGACATCCAGGAAAAGATAAAATCCCTCGGCTATGAAGGGGAAGTTGAAGTAAAGAAAGATAAATTGTTCATGAAATGGAAACTCTTTAAGTCTTTTCTTGAATTTTCTTTAAAGGGGATTATAAACTGTATTGAAAACATTCTAAAATATGGGGGCAATGTAGATTCAATACTGTTTGTTGGAGGGTTTGCGGAATCACCCTATCTTATCCAAATGCTCAGGGAACATTTCAAAAACTTCACGATTCTTGTGCCAGAAGAACCATCTCTCGCTGTCTTGAGAGGAGCTATATTATTTGGGTTCGATCCAACAATAATTCAATCAAGAATTTGTCGATACACTTATGGCTTCGCCAATCAAAGACCATTCATTAATGGAAAAGATAAAATTGAAAAGAAAACAAAGCACGGTAATCGATTTTACTGTGATGACGCTTTTGATAAGCATGTCGAAATAGGAGAGATGCTTCGATTCGGGGAATTTCAAGAACCTAAAGATTATCATCCACTAAAAGATGACCAAGTTATGATAATGCTAGAACTATATGCCTCCACAGCAAAAGATCCAAAATATGTCGACGATCCATCTTGCCACTTAGTTGGTGTAATGGAAATTGAGTTAACACCACGAAAACCGGGAGAAGATGGCACGGTAGTAGTTCGTGTCAATTTTAGTGGAACTGAATTGGAGATAGAAGCACGTGAAAAGAGAACTGGAAATATTACTCGAGCAACATGCAATTTCCTAGGATAATTGCAGTTTCCTTTGAAAATGTGAACTGAAGTATATCGTCCCTATTTCAAATGATATCATTTGTATCTAGATTTAAACTTATTTCCTTTAAAGACATTTTTTCTTCTGTAAGAATTTAAACCAACTTCTTGATACTATATACTTATTTCACTGTTTTAAGTTTTGCATATCTAAAATACATCATCCTATTTGGCAGAGTATTGGTATTTATTTTTGATGGCATATTTGTACTTATTTAAGTTTTTTTTAAAAAAGGATATGCAATTTAAAGGTTGGGTAATTGTTTAAAGTGTTGCAAATGTTTACATTTTTCTCATTCTATTAAATGATATTTGTCAGTAAATGATAATTCTGATTTTGCCATTTACTAATTCAACTTTAAGTTTTTCAAAAGTGTGTAAATTATGTCTTATTGGTAGATTTTTGTTCATGAAGAAAAAAGAATGAATAAACTATCTCTGTTGTATAGATTTCTAATTGTTTCAATTTAAAGGTTGGGTAATTGTTTAAAGTGTTGCAAATGTTTACATTTGTTTCATTCTATTAAATGATATTTGTCAGTAAATGATAATTCTGATTTTGCCATTCACTAATTCAACTTTAAGTTTTTCATAAATGTGTAAATTATGTCTTATTGGTAGATTATTGTTCATGAAGATAAAAGAGTGAATAAACTACCTCTGTTGTATAGGTTTCTAATTGTTTCAATTTAAAGGTTGGGTAATTGTTTAAAGTGTTGCAAATGTTTACATTTATCTCATTCTATTAAATGATATATGTCAGTAAATGATAATTCTGATTTTGCCATTCACTTATTCAACTTTAAGTTTTTCATAAGTGTGTAAATTATGTCTTATTGGTAGATTATTGTTCATGAAGAAAAAAGAATGAATAAACTACCTCTGTTGTATAGGTTTCTAATTGTTTCATTTGGATAAATATAAAATCATAAATCATCCAAGCAACAATTCCTGTTTAAGATTTTTTATACTTTTATATGAATTATCTTGATTGCCTTGTGAAGAAACATGTTTGACTTGCTGATCTGTTTATTTATGATGCATTATGTATGTATTTCTTAAATATTAGTAATAAAAGCATTGGGAATCTCTTTCATCTCTTAAATCAGTTATTGAGATGCAAGTAAAATATTTGTCATTCTATTAATTGGAAGACGATCTTCAAGAACCAATGGTTTTTCTGTTTTCCCGAACGGTAATAATTAAAAGTAAAAGGGAGATAACTCTTGTTCGTTTAGGCAAACTTCTTAATCTTGAAAGGTTATGCACTCTCTGCTTCTCTTTTAGTATATTGTAGCAAAAAAAAAACCATTTCGTATACGTGAAGTAGGGAATATAAAAGGATTTTAGTATCTTTGAGACGAAATTTTAGATCATAGAAGCTCAATATTTTTAGTGGTACAGGTAAACAGGTAAAAGTTTCTTTTCGGAAAATTATAAAGCCATTGCATGTCAGTCTTTCGTAAAGCGGATTCCCTGCCTAAATAACTTTAAAAGTCAATGAAAAAATACAAACCTGTAGCAAATCATTACAAACGTATGTGAGTTAGGGGATACAGATGCACCCTAAAGTTTACATTTAGTTAACAAAAGTATCTATATAGGAATCTCTCCGGTTCCTTTTTAACAAAAAATATATATATTAGTAATATGACTATAAATGATTCAATTGATACATGTACATTCGAATTTATCATTTTCTTTGCTATTTCTTGTGTCCTTGACAGATATCCTATTAGCTGAAACAAGTTCAAGTTCAAGTTCAATTTATTCTCTCAAACCAATGAATGGGGTTCTATGTACAATATATACAAAGACAACATACAAGATACATGTGTAATGGCGAAATTCATTCAAATTTTAAACTAAACAACAAAAATAATTATGGAGGACAGACTTATTCATATACTCTAGCCATGAAACTGCACAATTTCATTAATGCCTTAGAATCAACAGTTGACAATAGTTTTGAAAATTTATAAAAATTTGGTATATTACAATATTTACTAGGTAGATACTTTTTCCTGCATTCTGAAAAAATACATTCTAAAACATATTGATACTCTTCTGCAATTTGTCCATTATTACAGAAATTACAAAGTCTATCTTTTTTTTGTTTTGTTTTGTTTTGTTTTTTTTTTTTAATTCAACACCATCTCCCAGACTCAAGTTGGAGACAATGATTTCCAGTTCTAAATTTAATTAGAATTGTTCTAAATTTCTTAAGTAGTATATTTATTTTTCAAATCAAAATTCTATACACATGACCTTTGGATGAATCGGTCATATCACTTTGCCATTACTGTACGTACTGATCCTTAGTTCAACTATAGTTTTTAGCCATTTATTATTTACAAAGGCATGTTCATTCCATACCTTTCTTAATACATGAAAACCAAGGGTTCTTATGACAAAACTGTTCAAATAAATGCTTATATATAACATAAACAATCTTATTTTCAGGGCTTACCAGTTGTTTTGCCCAATGGGATATCATTCTTATATACACAGTTACATACGAAAGGAAGCGACTTGTTTCTCCATAAACCATATAGCAAGGGGTACTGTCACAGATGAAAATGTACCATTGGACATTTTGACATTTTTACTTTCAAATTCTACATATCTGTTATTTTAAATTACTGAGTTGTCTTAATCGCTTCAATCTGTCAGATCTATCTATTATAAAATATTTAATTATGTTAAATAGCCATGAGTATTATGACCAGATGGAATGTGAACTGAGTGACTACATGCAAATACATTCATATATTGATAACATAGATGGGGTCAGAAAAGGTAATTTTTTGAACAAGACCTACTGAAATGTCAAAGACCTCAGGATAACTGAACAAAGATCAATAACACTATGTAAACCAGAATAAAAAGGTACATTCTTTTAAATCCTTTAATTACTTGTATATTTCTGATCATAAATCATTTCAGGTTTGTGTCAGTTTTGATCATTTTTCATTTAATAAATGTTCACCCCCACCCCCATTTGGTAAGTGGTCTGTATATTTACGGGTCTGGTAAATTTGTTGGATCTAGCATGTCAAACGAAATTGATATAATTCTTCCTGAACCAAGCTGATTTGCTGTGAACTGTATTTCAATTTCTCCAAAAAAAAATTGTTTCTACGAATTCTATTTCGGCACAGTTTGTTCCAGCGGGAAAAGGTAATTTTAAAATGCCAAGCTGGCAGCAGCCTTCTTCATCCACAAATCTTGGATCTTCTTTGTCTGACACAAATATGGCACATTCAAGTTCAGTGTGGTTTGGTTTCAGGGCTTGGAACACTTGGGATTTTTTTGACCAACTTTGATTTGTTCTCCAAGTTTTATGATAGGGAACATGACATCTTTGCACAGGAATGAGTTATTTATTTTCATTTTCTTATCATCCGGATGTTTTCCTGCACAGAATTCGGGCCAGCTTTGAACGCCGTAAGTACAGCGTGAAACTCTTCTAGAAATGAGATCTGGTATATGCCCAAAATAAACTGCGCTTTTTACAAGAGCAAGACCAGCTTCATCTGGGATAATCAGTTTTTTGAACCCTTTGTGCTTAGACATGTGAGATTGAAGAGCGTTTTGAAAAAGTTTGCAAATCCACCGACCACGATAATTGTATTAACATCGTTTAGCTGATTGGTTTCGAAAATGTTATCAATATGCTGCATGATACCATCTATTGTTTTCTTGAACAGACCAATAAAAAAAATCTGATGACAGAACAAGTTTTTTACTGCTTGACTCGTATGAAATATCAGTTTTCAGTGACATGGATTCAAGGAGTTTAGAAATGCCACCTTTCATCTTTTTCTTAACAAGTCTGTCCAGACTTAGAGGTATACTCACTCGAACTTTTGATGTGGCTTCATTTCGTTTTTTAGTTTCGAACTGTCGAAAGATATCTATAAAGTCCTCCATGTTTTCCTTTTTCAGTTCTTTAAATATGCCTTTGCCAGCAGTTCCCTCTATAAGTGTAGAAAACTCTTTGTCTACAGTTGTCCCTCCTAGCGGCACTGCAGTGGCTGGTAATATTTCCTTGAGAGTGCCATCATAGGCTTTCTAGTGGACGGTTATATCAACAGTGCCTCCTATTTAAAGAAAGCAAGCGGAATTTAAGATACATTTAAATTTCAAGAATACAAGAATAATTCTATTCTATTCTATTAGTATCGTGTTAATTTATTCCCAAGCATGCATATATATATATATATATATATATATATATATATATATATATATATATATATATATATATATATATATATATATATATATATATATATATATATATATATATTAGGGATGGCATTCGAATACAAAATTGCTAATCGGTTAACCGCAAAATACACATTTTTCTGACCTTCAAGTAAACTCTATTCATATACGCTAGAAAACTTTTTTTTAAAAAAGCTTAGTAATATTTTGTATATGCTTGATTACTACACTTCATATGCTATATTTCAGTTTCTATAAAAAAAATAAGAAAACCCTGAAATATCCATCAGATATTTAAGACATGATTTTTCAGACCAGATGTTGCACAAGATCATTTTGCATTATCACCATAAACAGAAAATGAGACCGAACTAACACTTAATTTGCAATGTTTGGTAAAAAATATAATATGGCTGACAACTCCAGAAGATAGACGGTAAAATACACATTGTAATCAGTTTACAGTAATTTTAATGAATTAAATCGTTAAAGAGATACAGGACTTGTAGTATAACGGCATGGTGTTTAAACAGCAAATAACACTTCGCAAACTAACGAATTACCTCCAACGACCTCCATTTGAAGAGCCTAAATTAATTAATTAATTACCTCCAAGTTGGCTGAAATAAATGTGGGAAACATTCAGAGATTTTTTTACGGTGAAAATTGATTTTTAAGGAAGTTTACATATATATATATATATATATATATATATATATATATATATATATATATATATATATATATATATATATATATATATTGCCAACTAACCGATTACAGATTTGCCAACCGATTACCATCGTTCCGACCGAGTAATCGGTTAACCGGTAACAAATTTCCATCCCTAATATTATATATATATATATATATGTCCACTCACTCTGCCTCAAAACATTTTCTTGTCGAGATTAATCATTCCCTGGACTTAAGTAAAGAATGCAACGCGTCTTGTTTATTATACAAATATAGCGTTTTGATGAGACTATCCCTAGATTATACACCTTAGAAAAATAAATATGCTTTCTCTAAGATCTATATATCTAAGGTCTGTACTAAATCAAAAGACTATATTTCTTTTATTATTTTTATAATAAGTAAATACCAAATGTGTTTTTTTTTTAAATCCATGTTTCTAATATACAAATATAGCCTTTTGATGAGGTCAATATCTAGATATATACACCTTAGATAAAGCATATCGACCGGGCACGAAGTGCGAGGTACATATACTTTCTCTAAGGTTAAAGTGTCAAAATTGTTGGTACCCAAGAAAAGTTCTTTTCGCAAGAAATACATATGTTAATATAGAAAACCCTCGCACCAAGTGTTCAAAAATTATGGACAAAGTTTTATGTTTTAAAAAGTAGGTCAAACTCCAAGATCAAATGGTCAAAATTGTCGGTATCCAAGGGAAGGTCTTTTCACAAACAAAACGCTTATGAAATATGAAATCCCTCTTTCTAAACATTCAAAACTTATGGCCAAGGATAAAGTTTTCAATAGTAGGTCAAATTCAAAGGTATAGGTCAAAGGGTCAAAACAGTTGGTACCCAAGAAATGGTCTTGTCACAAGGAATACACGTGTATAATAAAAGCACTAACTTCAACCATTCAAAACTAATTGCCAAGGTTGGAGTTCTGGGAACCAGGTTTTTTACATTAGAAAACATGTAATTTGTCGATCGCCATTTGACTCCCTAGGGTGAAAATGAAAATTCCAAAACCTTCCTGCACATCCGCAGGACAGCAGCAATATAATTTGGCTACTGCGTAAATTGTTAGAGGAGTTCTGGGAACCAATTCTAATTAGAAAAACGTCATTTTTGACCCCCAAGGGCGAAAATGAAAATTCCGAAACTTTATTGCAAATCTACAGGATTCCACCAATTATCTTCCCAAGGATGAATTGGCTACTGAATAAAATGTAAAAGTAGTTCAGGGAACCCCCAGGGTAAAACTGAAAATTCCAAAAACGTATTGCACATCTACAGGACAACATCTATCATATTCCGAAAGATTAATTGGCTACTTCTTAAAATAAAAGAGGAGTTTGCGGAAGAGGATAGATAGTGTGACAGATGGACGGAGGAACCAGGGTAACAACAATATACCCTAACTTTCTTTAGATAGTGCGGGTATGATAATAAATGACTTTATAATGTCATGAACAATGATTTCAATGCATAATACTGTGAATGGATCTATTCATAGGAGATGATACTCACTTGATTATGCAAGCATAACTTGGGAATTTCTTATCATTTAATTTCTTTAAAATAATTTATTCTGATTTGCTAAAAAATTCTTTTTATAAGTGCATCAATAGAATTTGGAGTTCACTTGCATTTGGCAGTCGGAACTTCTTTGGCTGACTTTACATATCCCCCCTTCCTGATTACTTTGTAAAGAAATACTCTATTTTCCTGAATTTGAATTTCAAAACTTGTCCGTTACGTTCCTGGGTTGTTTACTTTCGTTTCTTTTTCGTATTATTCCCCTTTGCTAAACAAATTAGGGAAAGAAGAAAAGTGATCATCATTTATATGTTAAATATTTGTCTTTGAGATAACTGGTATGAACACAAGAACTGTGAAGAAATGTTTTTATGCTTCCAAAGCTGAAGAATACTTTTAAGCTGTTAATTATTAGGAAACGAATGCATGAGAAAAAGACACTGAGCGAAGACGTTATTCTTTCAATGTTGAACAGTTGGTAGCAGAGCTCTTTCCAGGCAGCTAGGTGTTTTGCATGGATAATTATATATATATATATATATATATATATATATATATATATATATATATATATATATATGTTGGGTTTGAAAGTCAGAGGCTGACATGCGCAAATGATGCAAATGAAAGTCAAAATTTCGGTGACCTAAAGAGAATTTGCAGGGTTATTTGGAGTAGTTTCCCTTACATTTACGAATATATCAGCTTACCGGGAAAAGTTCGAAGTACATACACACCTAATGGGTTATAATATAACTGGTAAGTTATTTATGTGATATTGTTAAAAACAGATTAGTACATGTACTTGTGAACGTTCTTTGATCGTGATGGTTACAGGCCCGTAGGAAGCAATTTCAGTTGGGGGGGGGGGGGGCACAGCTATACATTTTCAGTTGAGGGGGCACTATCAACTACCAAAAATTCCTTGACAAGCAAAAAAAAAAAGGCCATCAAACGTTTTAATTGAGGGGGCAAAAGCATATAGTATCTATGTTTTTTATAGTAAACTGTATATCGGCAATTTTTTTTTTTGGGGGGGGCACGACCCCCCCCCCCCCACCGGTTCCTACGGCCATGTGTTATCAATTACTCTGCGTATTTATATTTAGGTAATATATTATCAAAGTTAAGCTGTATGTTCCGCAATCACTTGTTTTCATGTTGAATCTCGTCATTGAAAGATAAATATTAAATGATAAGAAATGAATGTTTTAATTTTTTCTTTGATCGACGTATCAAAGAAAATTTGGAAAACTTTTCCGTCAATGCGCTACGCGCATTGATGAAGTTTTAAGCTTCCGTCCAAGTTTTCTTTAATACGTCGATCAAAAAAAATTATAGGATCCATTTCTTCTTCAACCGCGCATGAGCAACATTATTTTTCGGCGATACTGACTTCGGATACTTGGAATACAAATCGATAATTAAGAGTGTGTTTCTCCTCTCTCTGAGTCTTTTTTCGGCACTTTAAGAGCAGGCACTCTGAATAATTTTTATTTCTCTGCAGCCCATTTAAACATTTCAAAGGTCTATGCCAGTTTCTTCATGGGGTAAAACTTTATAGAATGAAGAGAAAAGACATCCCACTCCATTCTGACGCCATTTTTACTCACTTAATTGTTTGGACATTCCATATAAAATTTACGATAAGATTTCGTAAAACTTAAAAAATTGATATAAAAACTGCACATTTTACGGAAGAATTGTGTAATACTAAATGGGAAAATTAGCGTGATTGTCGGATGACAAATGCTCATATAATTTTTTTTCATTAGACTCAAGTAGAAATTACGTCGTCTTTTGAGGTTTATATCCACAGTTTACCTCCTATATCCACAACCATATACTTCATGTTTGCTGAAACTGTGTTTAGAAATTCGTCAGTGCTCTCTGTATCTTCTTTCTCCAAATGCAACTTCAGACTCCGTAGCAATTGCCAGTTGGTTTTAAGATATTCCAGCCTAAATATCAAATTTGCAATGTTTCACGTATAATTATTTCTAAGTTATTCCCCATATAGATCTCTAAATCCTATAATCTGTAATTTCCATACCACGCCCAAAACATATAAAGCAATTCCGATCATTTGTTCGTAAAAAAAACCCTGTTATTCAGAATCAGTCACCCAGGATATAAATTCAGTTCATTAATCAATGCATTATAAAATAAATAAAATTGATTGACTGGGAAAAATCTTTGATTCTGCTGCATAAAAGGACGAACAAGTTTTGATAAACCGTATAGGGCTCAATTCAGATCATTTAAGGACATACGCAACGTAGTTTGAACTTTATTGTCTTTTCCCTTGGAGTTGAATAGTTCCGATACTTAAAGGAACTTTGTGCTACATTTTAATGTCTATATATGCGGTTGTACACTTCTTCTAAAACAAGTTTGGATGAACAAAACATCTAGAATACATGTTCAGTAATTTTTGTATATTTTTCTTTGAATTATACAAGAATTTTCATCAATTGGTATCTTTTCAAAACCCCTGGTAATGCATGCTGATTTTTTGTCTACGAACATCTGATGGCACTATAATCTTAAATTAAGAATATCTTGAAAAATTATCATTAGGTAAGGTACGTTGCGTATGTCCTTAAAAGATGAATAAATAATATTCATACGCTCATTGTTGCCTCTCTCATAAACATTCTGGATGCATTTCCCCAGACTGCTGGTACGGTAAAGACAAAATAAATGTCATTGATACTAATATCAATGTATTCCATTCGAGCCATAAGGCATTAGCTCTTCCAGCAAATACTTGATAGACAATGTAAACACTGTCATCGCTTCTAGTGTCTTCCCTGTCTCGTCTTTGATTGTACCTTTTCTGCTCAATCTCTGAAAATTGTAATAATATTAGCTCAAGCCACCAAAGTAAACGCAAAATGTTGACTTATGTCTTCACATGATTGAAAAAAGTAAAACGACTTACACAATTTTTACGTAAGATCATTTTAAAACAATGAAAGAAATAATATTCACTACAATCTTTTTTGCTTATGTCTTCTTCCTCATCATCAAACTCCATCTCGGCTAGTTGTGCATACTTCTCCTCTGCCTCGTACCCAAATGAATTGAAAGACTTATCAGGATTCAATAAAAGAGCAGTTGGGGTTTTATTTGATACAAATTTACCACCATTCCAGTTCCTAACAACAACATTTTTCCATGCAGCTTTTGAGGAATATGCTAATCCAGTGTAAGTTGTTCCAAAACCAATGGCAGCCACATAAAGTCTTTTAGACTTTGATGAAATCTTTGATGCGTAAGTAGCCTAAACATAAACAAATGGACTTAATCATCATTCACTTGCTAAAATATTTCGAATTTGTCATTTGTGTTGTCCAGCAGTTGATTTAATATTTAAACCGAGAGTACTTATTGCAAAAGACAAACATTTTTAACGTTATAGTAAAAATAAATATAGGTTTGATGTAAATATTTTCACACACTGTTTTTTTTTTATATCTGCTACTTTCTTTCAAAAATCAGTTTCCTTATTTTATTTATGTCAAATATTCAAAATACATACTTACCATAAATTTGATCCTTTATTCGGATATCAATGTCTTAACTTAATACCATTGTCTAGATCTTTGAACAATAAAAGATGTAAAATCAAGAAATGTACATGTACCAGTAACTGGAACAGTTAAACATGTTGCTTGAAGGAACCTTTTCCTTAAGGTGTCTAATTTCCTACAAGCTTCATTAAAATAAACAAAAACAATTCGACACTTTATTTTCTACGAAATTCTTTTAGATTAGATATATCTTCTAGCGACTTAAAATATGTATCTACTTTTTAAATTTCAAAGAATTACATTGATAAAATAGAGAGAAACAACCATTTTAGATTCAATAAGAATTCAGCACACGACTTGCATGCCCTGCATTCATTTTAATATTACTATAACGTTGGAACACTTTATTCTTATCCATATTCTAATTTCTTTGTTGAAAAATAAGAAAGTTAATTATATCCATTTAAATTTTCAGCCTATCAAATAGCAGTACACTTGCTTACACATTTTAAAGAATATTTCCTAATATCATATTGTGGAACCTTATACGTACAATTTAAATTTCAAAGTATTAAAAAACAAGAAACAACAAAAACAAGGAGATCATGGAAATTTTTGTATCAGCTAATCATAGCGCAGCACACATGCATGATCTGCATGCTTTCTTGCATATGCCCCACATCACCTTATCTACACTATACATATACATGTATCTTTATATACTAAGTTTCAACGTGTTTCATATAAAAAAAAGGTAAGTTAAAAGTATTTTAATTATACACGTTGTTTCAACAATTGCACATACTTACAGAAACATATTAATGCACGTGCACACGAAAGATCAACACATATTACACATGCCTACTAATCCAAAAGAGATTTCATCTCAATAGGACGAGTAGTTTTCGAGATCACTCGCAGACAAAAATGTAAAGGGGAAGAAAGTATAAAACAGAGTAATAAGAAGAAGGCATGGAAAAAAACTTATGTTCCCAGAATTCGTTTGGGGAGCAATATGGACACTTACATATAGTTTAAAATACTCTCTGAGTATGATGATTTTTGTTCATCACAGAATACAGAGTACATTTCTTACCTTTAACGATAGTAGAATTGACACAGAATTTAAGCTCATTCGAGCTGAAAGCTCAAGCAAGCTTTTCCGACAACATTTTGTTCGGCGTCGGTCAATCTGTAAACTGTTCACATTTTTGACTCTTCTCAAGAACCTCTACACCAATATCAACCAAACTTGCCGGAAAGCAACCTTGGGTGAGGCGGATGCAAAATGGTTCAAATTAAGGGTCACGGCCTCTTTCAAGATGAGATAATTAAGAAATAGTGAAAATTTGATGGCATCTTTTAAAAAATCTTCTTAAGAACCAATCTTATGTGAAACTTTACCACATAGTGTAGATTCAAGGTTGATTAAATCATAACCCATCATATAGGTGTAGGATGGGACCACAATGTTGGATCAATATTTTACATACGAAGAATTTGGAAATAAATGTTAAAAATCATCTTAAGAACAGCAAAGCCACGGTTAGCTATGTTGAATTTGAAGCACTCTATGGAAGTATAAATTCAAATTTGTTCAAATAATGACTCTGGGGGTTAAGATTGGGCCAGAATGAGGGATCAAAGTTTTACACAGGAAAAAGTAGAAAAAAAATCTTTATAAATCTTCTTATCAATAACAACAAAGTCATGATTAGTCATATTGTGAAAGCATCCTGAGATAGTGTAGATTTAAGTTTATTCAGATCATGACCCCAGGATGTAGGGTGGGGCCACATGGGGGATCAAAGTAGCATGTACTACATAGCAATATATAGGAAATAAATCTTTTAAAATCTTCTTAAGAAAAGGAAAGCAATGATTAGTCATATTGATATGAAAAATCCTCAGGTAGCATAGATTCAAGTTTCTTCAAATGATGACCGCCAGGGTTAGGGTGGAGCAAATCTTGAAAAATCTTCTTCGAGAAGCCGAGACATTATAACTGCTATAATGTCACATGGTGATGCAAATAAAATACATTTCTTCATATATAATAACAACCTTTGATTGAAAATAAAAATCCTTTAATAACTTGAATAGAATATTCCTTGGATATCTTCAATAGCCCCAGTCCACTTTAAAAATGAAATCCCTGGCTAAGACTGAAAAAGAAACTTAAAAATTATTGTTAAATAGTTCTACTTACTAATCTTTATTTTGTAAACAGGATGTCTCTCTAAAGAAGCCAATACTGATAAACCCAGTAATTGCAGGTTACTTTCATTTCGTTAGTGTCCTGGAGTAATTAAAATTGTTTCGATTATCGTACAACAACGTATTGTCAGAACTCCATTTACACTGTAATACGTCAATGCACACGTTACTTCAAGATAAAATCAGCCTACCTAACCTCAGCTGTAGAATAGAGAGATATATACTTACCTAGTATGTGAATTTTGTGAATAATTCAAATAATGGAGTCTATATATGTCTATTTAAGTGAACCAGGTATTATATAAAAGAAATAAAAACTGGTATGAAACATGTGCTTTATATCAATATCTAAAAACCGTTCACGGTAGCTCAGTCGGTACAGCGCTCGCTTCGTGATCGGGAGGTTGTGAGTTCGAATCTCGGCCGCGACTGGCCTAAGTCGATAAAAAATGGGTAGCAACTGTTCCTTCGCCATGCGCTCGGCACTTTAAAGTGAAAGTTGTGGGTCCTTCGGATGAGACCTTAAAAACCGAGGCCCCGTGTCACGGCAGGCGATTGCACGTTAAAGATCCCTCACTGCTCAATGGCCCTGAGTGCCGAGTAAAGGTCAAAATTTGAAGTCCTTCACCGGTATATGGTGACGTCTCTATATGAGTGAAAAATTCTCGAATGGGACGTAAAACAACATACAATCAATCAATCAATCAATATCTAAAAAAACTGAGCTATCTTGAGCTTTAATTTTGAGTCGAATATATTGAAATTGCGTTTGGAAACTATTTGGATTGAACACACTGTTCAAAACATAGATGGCCATCCCCAGTTTTACTTAAAAGTTGCTTGAACATTCATTTTTTGAGAAAAGTCAATTCTAATGTACAAAATATGACTTTCATTACAAGTACTATGCATTGTGAAATTATAAGTTGAATTGATTAAGTCTCCCAAGGATCATGAAATACTAGTAGTTTTCGACTTAAATCAGAATTTGTACATTTTTTAATTACAGAAAACATGATATTTGAAATATTCTAGAAATTGTTTCCCCTTCAGGCTGTTTATTGCATTTCAACGTTGCATAATTTGTTTTTTTCCATTTGTATTGTATAACTTCCAATTCTAAATACATAATTTTCTATTTGTATTGTATAATTTTACATTTGTATTGTATATTTTCCAATTCTAAATTCATAATTTTCTATTTGTATTGTATAATTTTACATTTGCATTGTATAATTTTCCAGATAGAAAAAATATACAAATGAATAATTTTACAATTAAAATGGAACATTTTACAATAAAAAGGAAAAATTATACAATACAAATGAAATATTATACAATACAAATGGGAAATGATAGATTACAATGGAAAATTGTAGAATTTTGATATTGAAGTGTCAGTTTTACAAAGATATTAATTTTCGAAAAGACCGAAAGTTTTATTTACTTTTGCTTGTTCGACGTATACGTACTTAAATTAACGCTAAACTTTAAATTTTAGGCAATAAAAATAATATTATAAAACAAAGTTGTTTAAAACTAATGTTTATCATGCATTTCAAAGATATACACGCTGTATAAACGTGATTTTTTTATGTGAATCAAAATGTTTAAATGATTTGAGAAACATGATGTAATAAAAAATACTTACTTTCCACAAAGTATTACTAAATAAGTCGTTGTAATTACAAAACAATTAAGCAAGATCTGCAATTAAGAATTCAGCCTATTCATGAATATTGATGAAGGAAGTACGTAAACAGTATATAGACACGCATGTCCGCGGGAAATCATAGACAACGAGGTACGTTGCATTTTGACTACTATTTTGAATAAAAGTAAATATCTGTCATTACAGAGTAGATGGTTAATAATGGTTGTTTTCAAAGATAAGTATCTTTAAACATAAAACATATGTCATCCATGTCAGAAGCTATTTTGTATACCAAACGGCCTACCTCGTTTTCTTGACGCCATTTTTGTTTATCAATCTGAAAGTAGCGACGGTGTCACATAATGCATGAATTTAAATATAGCATTACTTTCCTAGTAGGATAATAAATAATTATAATTTGAGATCTTTATAATGCGTTCATTTCCAATTGTGTAATTTACAATATCTTCGTAACTTTATTTGGTAAACAAAATAAATAAATTTCCAACTTTATTTTTAACTGACGCAAGTTATAGCGTGTGTATCTTTAAGACAGTCAATTAACAATAATAAAGTCCAAACTTATTTATGGAGCAGGTACATCAAGAAAAATGGTGAGGATTAAAGTTACTTTAAAAGTTAAATTGAATGCTTTTTATGCTGTGGCTGTCTTTCTTATTATACTTGTCAAAGATGTCGCTAAATTGTCTTGTAATAATTTGACTATTATTACGTGATCATTATTATAATTACAAATATGTATACTGTAGATTTCTAAATATACGCGAGGAAAATATCTTATGTGAAACAAAAGCTCCACTCGCGAAATTGAATTACTTGCTTTTATTCTTATGGCGATTACATGTATGCAAAACCTCTAATTCAATCGTCCACTCGCGAATTATTTTTCTCGCGATTTGACGTACTAGGCCCATTTCGCGATATTAAATACTCCCGTGAAATATGGAATCTACAGTATATAATTGATTCTTGTAGTATTTGTCAGTCAGTTGACTTGCTTGGTTCCTAATAAGAACCATCATTCCTGAATAAGGACATATATATTACAAATATACATATATTATAAATTCTTGAACAAACCCTGAATAAGGAAAGGAAGTAGCTCTCATCCTGGATAGGATTCTAGGTATTTTCTATTATAAAGTACATGCATTGCTGACCCCTAGTGTGTTTGACTGAAAGACTTGCAATGAATTATTTGAAACAATATCTTTTATTTCTGAGAATCAAGGAATCAAACGATTAGAATTATGGATGAAATATATTGAGATAACGAACAGTATTCAAGCTCAAAAGTCCATTAAACATTACAAAATAAGAGCAGAGCAAACACGGACCTCCAAAACATCAGAGATGGGATCAGGTGCCATGGAGGAGTAAGCATCCCCTGCCGACCGGTCACACCCGCCGTGTGCTCCTTGTCATAATCGGGAAATAACGGAAAAATCCGTCGACAATTCAGTGTGTAAATAATGGCTTAACAATTAGTATGAAAAACGTCAGTCAGCATTTGACTCAATGATAAATTGTATTTGCTGACAAGGTCATTGTATCTACCATAGAACTTACGAAATGATGACTTTAAACGAGACTGCTGATATTCTTGTTTCATCAACTTGTTTGTCAATAATTTACCTCGTTTTAGAAATTGTACATACATGCTCTTGCGTATCGAATCAACTGAGAGATATATACCCCGTATGCAGGTGATGAAGATATATTGCTGCATAAGTAAGGGAAGTTGACGATTGAAAAGTTAAAGTCATCACGTTTATCATAAAGCTTGGTTGTTAGATTACCATTAACGTCTCTTTCAAGTAAAATATCCAAATATGAAACAGATGTGTCAGACTCTGTGGTATCTTTTATCTCAAGCTCACCGGGATATTTCGTATCGACATAAGAATGGAAATAACCATTGCTAATTGACAATACGTCATATGTATGTTATCTCAAATCCAGAAGGAATGAATTAAAAAAAATTTAATGAATTTTTGTGCAATATTAATATGCAAAGCTTTTATGCCAGGTATACAATTAATCATTTCAGGTTTAAATGAAACACGAGATATGTTTTGAAAATTTCTATCAAAGAAATTAAAGCTTAACCTAGCTGACATGATGCTTCTAAGAAACTTACTTTAGCCAAAAACTCAATAAAAATAAGCGTTTAGTTCTAAGTCATGTCAAAGGTAGGCTGCGCAAAACTCTTGAGTAAGGAAAGTTTGTCAAATTTTATTTTGATAATGTTACAATTTTTGAGGAATTAACTATGACAACTTATTTGCATATCGCTGGAATTTATCTTTTGTGGTGTTTACTGATGTTTACCTGATAGCTGAGACGTAAAATACCTTTAATGATTGATTGATTGTGTGTTGTTTTACGTCCCATTCGAGAATTTTTCACTCATATAGAGACGTCACCATATACCGGTGAAGGGCTTCAAAATTTAACCTTTACTCGGCACCCAGGGCCATTGAGCAGTGAAGGATCTTTATCGTGCCAACGTCTGCCGTGAAACGGGGCCTCGGTTTTTAAGGTCTCATCCGAAGGACCCGCAACTTTCACTTCAAAGTGCCGAAGGCATGGCGAAGGAACAGTTGCTATTAGTTATTTTTTATCGACTTAGGTCAGTCGCTGCCGAGATTCGATCTCACGACCTTCCGATCACGGAGCGTACCTTTTATGAGTATGATTTCAAAATTTACTTTTTTTAACGATTGCACACCTGGGCCAAAAATTTAAACAAAAGGGCCAATACTTTAACGGTCACTTGAGTATAGCATAATACTTTACGAGATGTATAGGATTTTAGATAGTAACATAAAATAATTTGAAAATCTACAATTTCTAAAACGAGGCAAGCTATTCGCAAACAAGTTGATGAAACAAGGATATCAACAGTCTCGTTTGAAGTCATCATTTTGCAAGTTTTATGGTCGATACAATGACTTTGTCAGCACACACAACCTATCATTGGGTCAAATGCTCTTACGTTTTTCATACTAATTGTTAGGCCATTATTGATACATCGAATTGTCTACGGATTATTCGGGGGGGGGGGGGGTTCGATCATGACAAGGAGCACATGGAGGGTGTGACCGGTCGGCAGGGGATGCTCACTCTTCCACAGCAACTGATCCCACCTCTACATTTTGGGGTCCACGTTTGTTTTGCTCCAAATTTGCATCGTTTCATTAGACTTTCGGGATTGAATACTGTTCGTTACCTTCATATTTCAATCCATCAACAAGAGAATTATGACAGTAAGGGATCAGTAAAACAGTTAGTCTGTAATCAGCCACAAACTGAAACTTGCCTGTGCAATCTACACTCCATCATAATCAACCGACATAACAAGATATCAGTACTTTATCATAATACATAAAAGTTTAATTATGAAAGGTGAAAAACCAGGGGAGGGACCTCCCTTACGGCAGAGGACAAAACTCCCATATATAATCATAACAGAGCCCCACACTTAATCAAGAATCACTGCCTCAGTTAGGGGCCATGCATTTCATAATTCTGGAAGAAGCACTCTTAGTCATCAAAACCACATTTTTACTATATGATCAATAGGGCCCGCCCTAGCTAGCTCCATAATCCCTTACCCTGATGCTTTGAATTTCATAAATCTGGATGAATGCCCCCTTGCTCATCGTTAATATTCAAACAGTTAGTCTGTCTAATACCAAGGAGCAGGAAACAAGATTATCATACGATTAATGCCTTTTCACTATATGATTTATAAAGCCCCGCCATAACAGAATCCCTAATCCAGAGCCATGAATTTCACAATTTATTAAAAGACGCCACTGATTATATTTACGCATTTAGTTTGTCTGTTAAATACAAAGAAGCAAGAGATTTTCAAAGAATTTGTTTTTTTCTGAATCATTTTATAATACCAAAACTCCTGACCCTGGGGTCACGCATTTCAAGATTTTAACAGAGATGTCAATGTTCATTCCCATCATGCTAAAAATTTTGACTAATTGATGTCCAAGGATAAAAAAGATTTTTAAAGATTAATTTTGATGGTTTTAGTCCCACCCCTCAGATCTCAAGGTAGTGGTCGTGGTAGGGTGGTGGGGATTCAGACAGCATTAAATTAACCATTTTGTTCCCCTTCTTCTATAGATGCTATCTGCTTAAATTTGTTGAAATAAGTTCAGTGGTTCCAGAGAAAAGACTTACATATTGAAATCTAACAGACGACGCACAATGCACGAAGAGGGACAAAATCAGATAGATATAGGACATCTGAGTGACTCAGGACACCTGAAAAGAATTTTGATTTGTTAAAAACCCTTAGCTGATCATAAAACTTAACAAATCTATAATTCTGTTGGAATCTGTTTGTCTATAAAACTTTTTCAGAATTTTTTTGTTTGAAAATAAAATAAAAAATATCATGCTTGAAATTACATGTTGACTCAAGTCGTAACTCATTTCCTTTCACGAAATCACTGAAATAAAAGGATGTGTAAACAAAGGGTTTTTTTTGCAAAAAAGGAGGGAAGCATGCTGAAACAAAGAATTATGAGCTCATTTATTGTCAAATTTATATTTTGAAAACACTAAATTTCATGGGGGTTAATTTTCGTTGCTTTCGAGGTACGAAGAGACTCACAAATTTATGTCCACCACGAAATGTAAAAAATTCATATGCATTCATACTTCATTCAAACTTGTCCAACCTCGAAATCACCCCCCCCCCTCCTTTGAACCAATGATTTTTCTTCATACCTCGAAAATTTGACCCCACTTAAATATGTGATCATAGGGGTATCTTTTTTAAACAATTAAGCAAATATATCCCATGCTCCCAAAATTTGATTCTAAGATATGCCACTTTATCACATGTTTATATCTTAGATGCTGATATAGTAATTTGATATCGTTTTCATATCAACAGCTGTAACTTCACAATGGGTTTGTGTGAAAGTAACGGAGTCAAACAAAGCGGATTCATATATTTTAGAAAATGTAACACATGGATTGCTATCTGTAAAAAATGTGACCAAAAAATTACCATGTTTTGTGCTTTGATACGATTTTTATCCAACTCGTTGCGTGTTTTCTATCCCCTCGCAGAGACTCGGGATGGTTAAAAAACAAGTTGAATACAAATCATACCAAACCACAAATCATGGAAGGTCCTATCTACAATATCTGTTTTTACGTTAGACGTTATAATCTAAATTACATGACAGAAGAAAAATCCTTAATGTTTGGATTATCTAAGTACAAGGTTTCGTTAAAAAAAATATCAGTAAAAATAAATATCAAACATATAAATAATCAGTTTTACTGAACATGATCTGTATACAAATGTTATCATATAACAATTTACATTGATGGAGGCAAAATACAAAATTCAGCATTGTATTAAGGAGGCTGGGGGGTCAACAAATTAACCACAAATTAAACACCAGATTTAATTTAATTTTTAGATATGATATCTTAAGCTGTCAACTATCATTTGGCAAAGAAAAATTTCAAAAATTTAGTTTTAAAATTTGATCATTTTCTCTATCTTCATATGGAGCTCTTCTTCTAAAGGAGATCAATATAGTCTAAAAATGGCCACAACCCCCAGCCTCTTTAATACTCTTTTTCCTTTATGATGAAATATCCAGGATTTTATTCTATTTCAATAAGATCAAAACCACTTTGCACAATTGATTGATGAATGATAGTAACTTTAAGATTTGTAGATTATTTTTTTAAAATGTATTTTAAACTTGTTTCAGCAGAAATTTAATAATGTTTCGTTTAATTTCACACTTCCCCAGGCAAATATATGTATATGGATTTCACGGATCTGGTAAATTTTTAGGATCTAACATATCAAACGAAGTTGACATAATTCTTCCTGAACCAAGCTGATTTGCCGTGAACTGTATTTCAGTTTCACCAAAAATGATTGTTTCCTCTATTTCGGCACAGCTTGTTCCTGCAGGGATAGGGACTTTCAAAATACCTAGCTGTCGGCAGCCTTCCTCATCCACAAATCTTGGATCTTCTTTGTCTGACACAAATATCGCACATTCAAGTTCAGTTTGGTTTGGTTTCAGGGCCTGGAACACTTGGGATTTTCTATGACCTACTTTGATTTGTTCCCCGCGTTTTATAACAGGGAACATGACGTCTTTGCATCGGAAAGAATTATTCACCTTTATTTTCTTTTCTTCTGGATCTTTTCCCGGACAGAATTCTGGCCAACTTTGAATGCCGTAAGTGTAGCGTGAAACTCTTCTTGAAATGACATCTGGTAAATGTCCAAAATATACTGCACCTTTTACAACAGCAAGACCGGCTTCATCTGGGATAATAAGTCTTTTTGATCCTTTGTACTTAGATTGAAGAGCTTTTTGAATAATTTTGCACTCGGAAAATCCACCGACCATGATAATTGTGTTTACATCGTCTAGTTTATCAGTTTTAAAAATTTTATCAATGTGTTGCATAATACCTTCTGTTGTTTTCTTAAACAAATCATTAAAAAAATCTGGTGACATAACAAGTTTTTTACTGCTTGACTCATACGAAACATTACTTTTAATTGCCATGTTCTCAAGAAGCTTAGATATACCACCTTTTGTCTTTTTCTTTACAAGTTTGTCTAGAGTTACCGGTATAGTCACTCGAACTTTTGATGTGGCTTCATTTCGTTTTTTAGTTTCAAACTGTCTAAAAATATCTAGGTAGTCCTCCATGCTTTCTTTTTTCAGTTCTTCAAAAATGCCTTTGCCAGCAATTTCCTCTATAAGTGAAGTAAACTCTTTGTCTATAGTTGTCCCTCCTAAGGGTCCTCCCGTAGCTGGAAGTATTTCCTGGAGAGTGCCATCAGAGGATTTCTGGTGGACCGTTATATCAACAGTACCTCCTATATCAGGAAATCATAGAATAACCATTATTTTAACTACAAGAACTTTGTTCATCACTTATTCCATATAAATATATGTATTTAAAAAGTAATTCCCTAACAAAATACTATAGTAAACTATACTTCAGTACTTTAATTGGAATGCACTGCGTATAGAAAGAGTTATCAAGCTTGCATTATCCTTGGAAGTTTTGGCGTTGCCAAAATTAGGAGAGGCAAATGCAAGTGATTCTTGGAAATGAAAACATTCGGTAAATGCCCAATGGAAATCGTGCGCGAGAAAAATCTGGACATTATCGTTCAGATAGCGTCGCTTTTCAGTTTCTTTCAGGACGCCGTGAAAAGTACATGACTTGTGTGTTGGATAGCTTCAAATTATTTTAAGCCGCCTCCACCCCTCCACCTTTGCCTTCTTTGATGTAGTCCAATTTTGTCTGTATTTTCTTTTCTTCGTTTGAATTTGTTTTAGGTAGATTGCGATTTCAGACCACAAGAAGAATGTTTTATAAATTATGTAATCATTTACACATATTATGTAATCAGTGTTTACTTATCAATCATATTCTTAATTCGGCTTCATTTTGTTGCGATCTTTTGACACAGATAATAGTAGCAAATTGATAATTTTATGGATTTCTTTACCAATTATTACGCAATTAATTGCAGTTATTTTCAATAATTAAAGTCACATTAGTGGTAAAGTGCAACATATCTAAGTGTTTTGTCGTTTATTAAAATTGAGAGTGAAGGCAGTTTCTTGAAATGCTGCGATATAACAATAACTGTGAGTTGGGTCCTTAGCATTACACAGAAATGTTAGAGAATGAGACATTCCATAAATGAGCTATTTTATTAAAAGGAATTCGCATTGGCAATTGTACATGAAGTCAAATTAATGTCAATCTACATACTTTATTTACTGAAGTGAATACAATGGAAGTTTGATTTACAATAGTACAAATCCTTGATGCATGATAAACTATACAAAAAAAAAAAAGATATTTGATTAGGGTGAGTTAACCATGCATCGGACACATACCTTGCTTCGGACAACTTTCAGCAATAAACTTTCATTGAACCCGAGTCTCCCCGTGTTTTTACTTGTTTCTGTCTTAAAGGTAAAGATATAAACTTTTTAATGATGCCGATTTTTATTTCCATGTTGTGATAAAAATACCACAAGAATGGCCTTGAAATTACGTCATATTTTGCATCATCAAAGGGAGTAACCAGAATTTTTCGATTTTGCAATTTTTAGAGTTGTCGCTCTTTTAAATAGACTTCAACGGAACGAGTCGGACCTAGGTAAAATTTATCAATGATTGATAATTTTACAGAAATTTTTCAAAAATTTTACTTCAATGTTTGTAAAATAATTTTTAGAGTTGTCTTTTACTAGTATGTTTATTTCACCGTACATCGGACACAAATTAACCATGCATCGGACACTTTCCGATGCATGGGTAATCACTTCCATTTTCATGTAAAACCCAAATGACAGCTGTTTTTTTACGGAAATAGAAAATAGAAACTCTAAATTTTCAGTGAAAATACAAATTATCGATATATGACGACTAGAAGTGGACTCAATTTACTTCTTTAAACTAGATTATTTTAACCCACGAGACAAAGGCGCTAGTTGCCATATTACTAGCATTGTAAAGCCTTTCTAAGGCGATGTGATGCAACTAAAATCTCTTCATATTTGTGGATCGAAATGGTCATTCAAATTTAATTAGAAGTTTAATTTTTTAATAAAAGATAAAAATGTTTCGATATCAGTAATTTTAAAGCACCGAGATCAAGGTATGAAATTTTTCTGGTATAAATATCGTATGCCCGATGCATGGTGAATATTGTCCGATCCATGGTGAATTCTGACTTATTTCGAAAAAATCGGTTTTTAATGATATTTTCTCAATAAATAGGGCACGAATGTGTCAAAAATTTATAATTTAACCACATACTACATGTTAAGTTCCATTTTGATAATATTCGGTCGGTAGCGATATCGCTAGAACTTGTTGAAGTGCAAGGGTGTCCGATGCATGGTGAATTCACCCTAACTAATATTGAAATCATAGTTAAAAAATTGATTATCTATAGTGAATACTATGAAGATTTTATTCATCATAGTAAAAACTGTATTGAGAATTTTGATGTTTTATTAATTTTTATAAAATCTTCAATTTACTACAATGAAAAGTGGATCTAGAGAACCAACAATGAAAACTAGAGAACCTTGATTTACAATGGTAAAAACTTTCATTTTATATTTCGTTTGGCGAAACTATGGAACTTTAATTTCCCATACCTAACTGTAGTGAGCTATAATTTACGCAGTAAACTATTATTTAGTAAAGTGTCAAAGTAAGTACACACTTTAATTAACTACATGTGCTTTTAATACTACGATATACTTGTGTTTCGGCTTGCAAACGCAGTGTTTCTTGATATGTTTTGGTTTTAAGGTAGGCTTACATGTAACTACAGTATAGTAAATACTTGTGATTTACTTTTAAAGTCTTTGACACTTTATTATAGTTATAGTAAAATAAAATAATTTGCTAAAAACAAAATTTTTTGTTAGGGTTGTCAAACCAAACAAAAGAAACTTTGGCAATGATTAAGCACAATGTTTAAGCTAAACTGACAAATCTGCCAAATAACAAATTAAGAAGGAAGTGAAACATAAGTTTTTAATCGTTGAGAACTTTGTATATTTATATCCTAAATAAATGATGCAGTCCATCCTCCCTAAATTATATCTCCTCCTTCTTTTCCCTTGTGTGTTTTGATATGTTCCTATTGTTTGTACACATACAAGGCCATCCTCTAAACAATGTCTATTTGCCCTCTTCCGGCCGATTGACTAAAAATGACCCACTCAGAACTTTTTAAAAACATCTAGGAAACATTCTTATTCTTATTATTATTTTTATTCATTCCAGAATTTTTTCATCCCGTCAACAACTATAGTTTTGATGTTATTTATACATTCAATTTCATTAATTTTTGAACATTAAGCGTTGATGTTGAAATCTTCTGGGACATTCTTTTTTTTCCAATTTTATTTTTTTTTTATCCTGAGGCGGGAGAAGGCAACAAACATTTTTAAAGATGGCCTAAAGATCTCTCTTGTATTATTGTATAATATCTTTTCTTTTCACATTTCATTATAAGAACTTGTTATTGTTCCTCATTTACTATTGACTGATGTCAATTAACCTCTCAACTGATTAACATCATTAATACATGTTCTGTTTAACTCGGTGACGAAATCGCATTCTTATAGGTAATGCAGACATTTATAAACATTAACAATAAATGATATTTACTTGAAATTATTGCATGAATCATCAATACATAAGCCCTATCATAGATAAAACATGATCGAAAGCTGACTTGTTTGCAATCAGTAACAGGACAGAAAAAAATTGCAACAGACTAAACCAAAATTGCACAAGATTCTCGGACACCCATCGTTAAAAATGGATTAAAAACTATACATATATATGCCTTTATGCAAAATCTAACTACCAGAAGATATACACTCACTTGTGATTCCAAGTATCAATACTTACACTCGCAAATTATAGCTGCTTGAGTTTTTTTTTTACATTATAATATTATATTATTGTAACGACTATAATTTTACGAAACATGTATGGGAACGTTTTTCATATTATTTATACATGTATAATTATCGTTTATAATACATATTGTTATTTATCAATTTTAGGTTTGAGGTACTAAAATCTTTTTAATTTAATAACCTACTAATTCTTTTTAAACAAAACCCCATGAAAGCCTTTATTTCTCTGTCTCAATTTTTAACGATTGATTTTGATACGATACAACTGATCATAGCAAAGAAATATGACAAGACAAACTTTGCAATATTCGATCTTTTCCATTTGTAAAACTTTTCCATTTGTATTGTATAATTTTTATTTGCATTCTATAAATTTCCATTTGGATTGTATAATTTTCAATTTGTATATTTTTTATTTGTATTCTTTAATTATACAATACAAATGATTTTTTTTATAATACAAATGGAAAATATGGAACACAAATAAATGTTATACAATCCAAATGGAAAATTATCGAATAAAAATAGAAAATTATACAATCCAAATAAAAATTATACAATACAAATGAAAAATTATACAATATAAATGAAATATTACACAATACAAATGAAAAATTATACAATATATATGAAAAATTATACAAATGCAAAATTATACAATACAAATACAAAATTATACAATAAAAATGGAAAAGATTGAATATTGCAACGTTTGACATGCCATAAAGAAAGGACATGAATGTTTAGATTTTATCATATTATAGTTATATTTAAATTATATTTATATTTATATTTATTTATATTGTATTTGTATTATTTTATATTTTATTATATTTGAATGCCAGATTAATATAAGTTTACCTCCTAAATCCACAACCATATATTTCATTTTTGTTGAAACTTCTTTTAAAAATTCGTCAGTGCGATCTGTATCTTCTTTCTCAAAATGAAGGTATTGACAATATATCGATGCAGCTTCAGGCTCCAAAGCAATCGTTAATTGATCTGTTGGTATTCCAGCCTAAAAATCAAACAAATTCGTACTGTTTCCAGAAAACCAGATTGATTACACAGGGTGTTTCAGCAAACGTGTCCCGACTTCGTGGTTTCAATATTAAGTTAGACAGTATTAATATAAGAAAATATTTGCAAAAATGAAAACCATATATCCAAACAATTTTATCAATATGAAAGTTGAAGTGATGCTGAATCAATTATTTTTTAAGACAGGCATTTTTAAATTTTGAACTTCAGCAGCAGTTTTCAATTTAACGTCATTAATAATTTTTATGTGTTAGAAAATGCCACAGTGTTTTTAAGTCAGCATCCTCATTTTGTCTCTGAAGTTCTGTATGGTATATATTTTGACATCATTTGAAATGCCCGTTTCCTAGAAAGATGGTTTTCATATGAGTACTTCTCTTTTAAAATTTTATGCACTAGTATTGGTGTTTTTGGAGATTTTCTGTTTGTGTTGATTAGTTCAACAAATCCATAGATCCATTTTGGAGAAGAAAAAAAACTGACAACCTGATTTTTGAAGATGTATTTAAATCTTCAATGGAAAAAATATAATGAAGTTATTTTATATTGTTTATATCACAATTATATTGCCGTAAAATGTGCTATAAAATACAGTTATAATTTTGTAAATATTTTATTATTTTGCAAAAATATAGACATCAAAAGTCATGACATGTTTGTTGAAACACCCTGTAAATCAAAATATATTAAGAGAAACGTGATAATTCCATATAAATGTCTCCAAAATCTACTGAATAAGAGAACAAACAAGTTTTGGAAAATCTATTGTGTCTGCTGGAATGATAACTAACCGTAAAAGACATTTTTTCAGAACATTAAAGGAAGTGATAAATAATTTACGTACACTTATTGCTGCCTCTCTCATAAACATTTTGGATGCATCTCCCCAGATTGCTGGTACAGTAAGTACAAAATCTACATCCTTAATAAACATTGGATCTACCATTTGAGTATTAAGGGTTTCCATTAGTTGATCCAGTAAATGCTTAATGGACATTTGAAATACTGTCATAGCTTCTAAAGACTTCCCTGTTTCATCTTTAATTGTACTATTTCTGCTTAATCTCTGAAAATTCAATGATATTAAGCTGAGCAAATCAACCATTAAAATGCTGAGAGTCTATATATATTATTGCGTAGTTCACATAGTCAGGTAGAGGAAAAAAACTTACATGATTTTCATGAAGAATCATTTTAAAACGGTGAAAGAAATAATATTCACTACAGTCAGTCTTGGTTGTGCCTTCTTCCTCGTCATCAGAATCCACCTCGGCTAATGTGGCATAATTTGATTCTGCCTCATACCCAAATGAATGGAAAGACTTATCAGGATTCAGTAAAAGAGCAGTTGGGGCTTTATGTGACACAAATTTACCACAATTCCAATTGTTAACAATAACAGTTTGCCATGTAGCTTTTGGGGAAAATGCATATCCAGAGTAAGTTGTTCCAAAATCAATGGCAGCTACATAGAGCCTTTTTGATTTGGATTTAATCTTTGGTGTATTAGTAGCCTAAAATGGAACAAAAGGACATAGTTTACATTAACTAACTTAAATTATATGCATGAAGTTGCACATACACATACGATATTTTAACATTTCAAAATACATATCAATGTATGTCACATGTCACTCGTGTAGTCAAACAATTTTTTTTCACAAATCAAACCGAAAGTACATTTTACAAAAGATGTACAATGCACGGAAACACAGTTAAAAAAAGAATAGGCCTTAAATCAAAATTTACCAAAATGAAAGTATAATGAGTTCTTGATACAAATTACAAGTTCACATTGCTTTTTTGTTATATACATGTATTTGTCAAAATTTTATCTAAATTAATTTTGTTTCTTTTTAGGGGGGTGACATATCCTTACCATGACGATATTGTCTTTGTAAAGATGATTTCTTCATTCGGAAATAGATATAATTTAGCTTCATTCTATCATCAGGATCTTTTAAACACAAGTAGAAGTAAAATCAACTAAACGTAAGAGTGACTGCCATATTTATTTTTACCTATTCAAGGTAGATAATCTATGACTGCCTAAAAGTGCCATATCAAATTTGCAGAAAAAAAAAAAATAAAATCGTTTGTACGATCGATTTATAAATTCGTTTATACAATTTAGAAATTCGTTTTTACGATTTAGTTTGTTTGTACAAGTTTAAGTTTAAAATCGTTTGAATGATTTTAACATTGTTTGCTCAACTTTTATATATATATATATATATATATATATATATATATATATATATATATATATATATATATATATATATATATATATATATATATATATATATATATTCTGTTTTTATTTATTTAAGTATATATATATATATATATATATATATATATATATATATATATATATATATATATATATATATATATATATATATATATATAAAACAGAACGCCGATTAAAATTACCGGTTTCAATTATATCATCAGTTTTCATCATTTTTTTTGTTGTTGACTCCTGGTGATATAATTGAAACCGGTAGAGTTTTAATCGGCGTCCTGTTATTTTTTATTATTTGATTGATTGATTGTATGTTGTTTAACGTCCCATTCGAGAATTTTTCACTCATATAGAGACGTCACCATATCCCGGTACCGGTGAAGGGCTTCAAATTTTGACCTTTGACATTGAGAAGTGAGGGATTTTTATCGTGCCTACGTCTGCCGTGACACGGGGCCTCGCTTTTTAAGGTCTCATCCTAAGGACCCGCACCTTTCACTTCAAAGTACCGAGCGCATGGCGAAGGAACAGTTGCTACTCATTTTTTATCGACTTAGGTCAGTCTCGGAAGAGATTCGAACTCCCGATCACGGAGCGAGCGCTCTACCGACTGAGCTACCGCAAACGGTTTTATTATTTGAAGACTTGTGTGGATTTCTTTCTCATACTTTGGATTATATATATATATATATATATATATATATATATATATATATATATATATATATATATATATATATATATATATATATATATAAACAACAACATTGTATATCCTAAGTGTCGGATCTACTAAGTAAATAAAAGGTCACGGTTTGAAATTTATATAAAGCAGTAAAAATGACCAAAGACTCCAACAATAAAATTTGTCAACAAAACAAAAAAAAACAACAACAACTAGCACTACTACTAAACTACCAGCACAATGTATTTACAATGTTACATTTTTAATTTGAAGTTTATAACCAGTTGTAAAGAAAGAACTAAATTCGGACCGCTATGAAATGCGTCCGGTCTGTCGGGTGTACTCTGGTAAAGTGTTTGGTAGTTTAGTGGTAGTGCTAGTTGTTTTGTTTTTGTTGTTGTTGTTGTTTTTCTGTTCCCTTTGTTTTTATGACTTCTTTACTTTTTTCTTTGTCCCGAGTAATTCAATGATAATAAATGACAATTCAGATTAATCTAAATGAAATACTGTTTAAAGTAATGATAATTAATCATGATAATCAGCAATCAATTTTTTTTTTTAAATCATCATACAAAAGTTTTTCTAAATCCTTCAAACGATTTTTAAAAAATCGTACAAATGAATTTCTAAATCGAACAACCGATTTCTAAATTGTTCAAACGATTTAAAAAATGTACAAACGAATTTGTTAATTATACAAATGAATTTATAAGTCATACAAATGCGTTCAAACGATTTTAAAAATCGTAGAATCGAATTTCTAAATCGTTCAGACGATTTAAAAATCGTGCAAACGAATTTATTTATTTATTTTGCAAAATTGAAATGTCACTTATACGCCGTCGTAATTATCTGACTGGTCACTTAATGTTACTTTCGGTTTAATATTTAACGCGTTATATTAGAAAAAATATGTTGCATTAATTCGTTGATATATCTCTCATTTCGTTATCTTTGGATTATCAAGTTTTATAATCTCAAGTAAAGTTTTTATACATAAAATCAAATATACTATGTATGTAGGTCCATATCTATAGGAACCGGGCCAGGCACGCCACCCTCCCAATAATTTTGCCAATGTATATGAAACATTGTACATTCTACATGAATATGGATTGGCTCTCTCAATTATATACCAGGTAGTCCTATGACCTTTTTTCTGCATGTCTAGGAATTTTTGTTTGGCTCCCCCCCCCCCCACTCCCCAGTTAAAATTGCTTCCTACGAAGCTGATTTGTATATATTTTATGTGAATATATTTCTTCTACATACATCTATGTACATGTACATATATCTGTGAATTTACTTTTAAAACAAGTCTGTTTGTAAACGACCTAAATATTTTATCCACACAATTGGTAGTACGTATATATATCTCAATAAAATGCAGAAAAAAAAAACTATTTCATGCATGTACATAAATATTTTTCATCTATAAACTATACCCCATTGTTGATTACATTTTATAATTTGTTTCATGCAGCTGTCCAGATGTGTTCTTGAAGATAAGTGTATCAAGCGAGACTGCGTGAATTATCGATATTTTTTTAAGAAATCAAGGCCGTAATTTATGATAACAACTGGTTGATACTTTTGATGTACAATATAGTTACTAATTTAAAATTATTAATTATATTTTATAATATGCGAATTACAGATGTTCGGCCTTTCTATCCATAATCTGAATTTTGAAACCGATAGATATGTTAAGGAGATGCATGTAGGAGAGTATAGGTTTTGTAAAATTTGTTCATTGATGATTTTCATTTTAAACTACAAAAACTTTTACCCTTTGTAACTCGATCTATGTACTATTTACTTATTATGTTCACTCTAAGATTAAAATTGTTATACCCTGTAAAATTGTGGGCACTAGGTAATTCCTGTGTATTTTGACTTGTCGTATTGCACAAAGAAAAAACTTGAACTTAAACAACCTAATCTATAATGGAATGCAAAATATTTCCGCATCAAAATGCAGTGTATGTTGTAAACCCATAACTTTAATACAAGAACTTATATGAGTTAGCCCGATTTTTCTCACAGTACCTCTAGTTTTTACTTGAGTGATATCTTATTTCTTCAACTATTTTTTCTCTCTTTTTTTTCTTTCTTTCTATATATATATATATATATATATATATATATATATATATATATATATATATATATATATATATATATATATATATATATATATATATATAAGATACAAGATCTTATTAGTCCAATTTGCCAATTTTGGTCCCCGGAGGAGCAAAAAAGATTTACAAACATGAAACAAAGTAAGGAGGAAGATCCAAATGATAGAACAAATTAAACCTGATCTTAAATATAATGAGCTTAATTGTATATTAATCATTGATAAATGCATCTTCAAGAGATATACTGAATATACATATTGTATATGTTATAATAATATATTGTCAAGTAACTGGAAAGATACATATATGCACATCAAAGAACAGAAGAGATTATATATTGCCATTCATGTACTTGTATATACATCCCCAAATATATTTAAAGTTTTCAGTTAAGGTAGATTATCAAGGAATCTAGCAAGTGATCTTAGGATTTCAGTATACTGTTTTTGGAATGATTTAAATGAAATTTTTCTATATTTCTGAAATGTATCCTATTAAAAATATTTCACCAAATTTAAATTTTAAATGGAAGAATCGATATAATTGAAGGAGGTGTAATTTGATCCTCTGGTCTTAAAATCAAGGTCCTTCATCCAATTATCAGTAATTCGACATACAACTAAAGTCTCTAGCTCATTATGTTCAAACTGTGTTTACACAGGACAAGTGTCAAGTACAAATCGATCAGGTACCAAATTTTGGAAAGTTGCCTTGTCTTGTTTCTGTTTGAGTTCTTAACCTTCAGGTAAAGATTTTTGTCGCGAGTTTGCTACTGTACCTCTCATATAAAATATCGAGGGTTGTAATATAGGAAGGGAATAACGTTTTGTTAAAAGAATGATACATCTTACTTTTTCTTTTTAATTTTAAAATCTGGAGAAATCTGTTTGATTTTGTTTCTTCCCAGTCAATAAACTTAACTACTGTATACTGCTAAGATGGCAAAAATTAAGCGAATTAAACAGTTTACAGTAGTAAATAATTTTTTAGTAGTTATACTCGGAAAATTTTAATGAAAAGTACTTTTTTTACACACGATACAGAAATATCAAAGAAATTATTGATTCTTTCAATAGCTAACGGTAAATCGTGCCATTTTAGGGACAGAAGGAGAGAGAAACAGACACTGAATGAAGATATAAATAATGAAATTAAATATTGAACGTACTCAGCATAAAATAAGAAGACAAAAATGTGTACTGTTCAAAACGTCATCAGTTATTTAAAGTGGTAACACAGGGTTACAAAATAACACTATTATACGATATTGAAATGGGGAGACACAACATAAAAACGTATTTTTTTATATCCCCCCCCCCCGGTCGAAATTGGTGGTATAAAGTAAAGGGGGTTTACGTCCGTACGAACCTCTGTCCGTGTAACCTTAGCACTTAGGGGTAGCCATTCCTCATCTCCAACTTCTCCTATGCCATCGCCGAAATATG